CCATTGTCAAGAGCCATTGTCAAGAGCCATTGTCAAGAGTCAATGTCAAGAGCCCTTGTCAAGAGTCATTTCAAGAGCCATTGTCAAGAGCCATTGTCAAGAGCCATTATCAAGAGCCATTGTCAAGAGCCATTGTCAAGAGCCATTGTCAAGAGTCAATGTCAAGAGCCATTGTCAAGAGTCAATGTCAAGAGCCATTGTCAAGAGTCAATGTCAAGAGCCATTGTCAAGAGTCAATGTCAAGAGCCATTGTCAAGAGTCAATGCCAAGAGCCATTGTCAAGAGTCAATGTCAAGAGCCAATGTCAAGAGCCATTGTCAAGAGTCAATGCCAAGAGCCATTGTCAAGAAGAGTGAGGTATCCAAACCATTGTAACAAATCAGGCATCCATACCATTATCAAGAGCTAAGTTGCAAAATACGCTTATAGCGTATATACGCGTATCGTATATACGCTAGCGTATATACGCTATACGCGTAAGGGAGCGATTTGGACATACGCTTTTTGGGGCAGGAAAAAAACTTTCCCGGGCAGGGAAAAAAATCCGCCCGGGCTATTATAGGGGGGGGGGGGATCTAAGGGGTTATGTTTCAGAGGTAAGTTTTTCTCCATTCCAAGATAACCACCCTTGACTCAGCACAAAATCGGGTTAAGATGCAGAGTTCGTAGGCTATAGACTGCAATAGCGTTGCGCGAATCTGCTCTGCTTCGGGCTCGCAATCACAAGGCATGATTGCTAGAGTGTAGGAGGAGGCGTAGGAGAGATCCTGGACAGCGAAACCATTGCCAATGCTGGAATTCGTGCCCCACACCCATCGCCAATGTTGCCTTAAAAACCAATTCCCCCTCCCATCACCTATCTTCACCGCATTGCATCTATCTCATCCAACCAATTTGATATTTGAAATTTGTACAGTCGTCACGTCACTTCCAGTCCAGATCTACAAGACGTTGATATAGGGAGAGTCTTTCCCCCCATCCCCTCTGCGGGAAGAACCTTCAATCTGCGCGGATCTGCGGGGAAGGGAAATTGCCGATCAGCGCGGAAATTGCCGTTCACTCTTGCACAAATCGCGGACGTGAATTTGACGGTGGCAAAATGCTCGTCGTGCAATTCCGCATCTTTCCGTATATTCACATTTTTTTCGGTCGGGCTGCCCCAAAAAAAATTGGCAAGCGTATAGCGTATTACCTTGCGTTTAGCGTGTAAACGCTAGCGTATATCCGCTAAACGCATAGTGTCCTGAGCGTATTTTGCAACTTAGATCAAGAGTACTGCATTTACCCCAGCGTCAGGCATAAATCATCTACCCATATAACTGCTACCCCTGTTTTGTTTCCGCTCCAGTTCCCGGGGATCCTTGCGGCACAAGCAGTTATAAGGCAGATCGAGAATTTGAGCCCACGTTCAACCCGTGTGGTCGCTTCAAGTGCACTGCCCTCGCTAAGAACAAGGGCAACTCCTGCAAGTGCATCATCTCAACGGCTATTGTACAGCCTTTTGTGGAGGTTGCAAATGGAGTGGGCGCCAAGACATGCGTTTATGGTGAGACTAGGGTGTATGGTTATACAGTCAAGGCAATAATTAACGTGCCTCGTATACCTTAACTAGGAAGGAATTGACGTGTCAAGCATCACTGGTGTCAGTGTCTGGGCGATTGACACTTCCTGGGAAATACCCGTGACGCTTGGGGGGCCAGGCAAAAAATTCTCAGGCAGGCAAGAATGAACTTGTGGGGTGAGGGGGAGTGAGGTAGGGGGAAGAGGGAGGCATGATAGAGGCGCCTAAGAGAGACAGAGGGCTAAGATGCGGTTGACGACTAAGAATGAAAATGGCATGAATATTGAGCGTGGGAGTTGAAATGATGAGGTGAGTGTTGGGTTTAGAGTGCTCTGTGCAGTGCAGAGTGGTTAAGGGCTTCGTTTAGTTTTAGGAGTTGGGGTGTTTTTTAATGAGTTGGTTTTGAAGATCGAGAGCTTTGTCGCAATATTGCGGCACAGTTTAAAAAAATCAATGAAAAATATTTCAATTTTGGGCTGCCTGAAAGAAGATGGGGCAGCGTCAACGTCAACGCAGCATCACATCAAAACGGTGCTTTCTTTTTACGCTTGACGCTCTCCTGTGTGAGTGTCACACATTATCATGGTTTTTTGCTCGACAAAATGTTCCCTTCACGCACGCTAGCTAGACTATGTGATAGCTGCTGTGCTGAGGGGGAAAACAAAAGCAGAACATGCAGGTCATGTCCAAACCCCGTACTGTTGGAGATCTTAGATTTTGTATTATGTGTTTTTGCGGAGTTGTAATCAAAATTCACAAATCCAGTATGAGTGAAATGTGTTACAAACCAACGCAATCAGAGGTCTTTGTGTTGAATGAATGAATATAATGCTTGTGTGTGTGTGTGTGTGTGTGTGTGTGTGTGTGTGTGTGTGTGTGTGTGTGTGTGTGTGTGTGTGTGTGTGTGTGTGTGTGTGTGTGTGTGTGTGTGTGTGTGTGTGTGTGTGTGTGTGTGTGTGTGTGTGTGTGTGTGTGTGTGTGTGTGTGTGTGTGTGTGTGTGTGTGTGTGTGTGTGTGTGTGTGTGTGTGTGTGTGTGTGTGTGTGTGTGTGTGTGTGTGTGTGTGTGTGTGTGTGTGTGTGTGTGTGTGTGTGTGTGTGTGTGTGTGTGTGTGTGTGTGTGTGTGTGTGTGTGTGTGTGTGTGTGTGTGTGTGTGTGTGTGTGTGTGTGTGTGTGTGTGTGTGTGTGTGTGTGTGTGTGTGTGTGTGTGTGTGTGTGTGTGTGTGTGTGTGTGTGTGTGTGTGTGTGTGTGTGTGTGTGTGTGTGTGTGTGTGTGTGTGTGTGTGTGTGTGTGTGTGTGTGTGTGTGTGTGTGTGTGTGTGTGTGTGTGTGTGTGTGTGTGTGTGTGTGTGTGTGTGTGTGTGTGTGTGTGTGTGTGTGTGTGTGTGTGTGTGTGTGTGTGTGTGTGTGTGTGTGTGTGTGTGTGTGTGTGTGTGTGTGTGTGTGTGTGTGTGTGTGTGTGTGTGTGTGTGTGTGTGTGTGTGTGTGTGTGTGTGTGTGTGTGTGTGTGTGTGTGTGTGTGTGTGTGTGTGTGTGTGTGTGTGTGTGTGTGTGTGTGTGTGTGTGTGTGTGTGTGTGTGTGTGTGTGTGTGTGTGTGTGTGTGTGTGTGTGTGTGTGTGTGTGTGTGTGTGTGTGTGTGTGTGTGTGTGTGTGTGTGTGTGTGTGTGTGTGTGTGTGTGTGTGTGTGTGTGTGTGTGTGTGTGTGTGTGTGTGTGTGTGTGTGTGTGTGTGTGTGTGTGTGTGTGTGTGTGTGTGTGTGTGTGTGTGTGTGTGTGTGTGTGTGTGTGTGTGTGTGTGTGTGTGTGTGTGTGTGTGTGTGTGTGTGTGTGTGTGTGTGTGTGTGTGTGTGTGTGTGTGTGTGTGTGTGTGTGTGTGTGTGTGTGTGTGTGTGTGTGTGTGTGTGTGTGTGGTGTGTGTGTGTGTGTGTGTGTGTGTGTGTGTGTGTGTGTGTGTGTGTGTGTGTGTGTGTGTGTGTGTGTGTGTGTGTGTGTGTGTGTGTGTGTGTGTGTGTGTGTGTGTGTGTGTGTGTGTGTGTGTGTGTGTGTGTGTGTGTGTGTGTGTGTGTGTGTGTGTGTGTGTGTGTGTGTGTGTGTGTGTGTGTGTGTGTGTGTGTGTGTGTGTGTGTGTGTGTGTGTGTGTGTGTGTGTGTGTGTGTGTGTGTGTGTGTGTGTGTGTGTGTGTGTGTGTGTGTGTGTGTGTGTGTGTGTGTGTGTGTGTGTGTGTGTGTGTGTGTGTGTGTGTGTGTGTGTGTGTGTGTGTGTGTGTGTGTGTGTGTGTGTGTGTGTGTGTGTGTGTGTGTGTGTGTGTGTGTGTGTGTGTGTGTGTGTGTGTGTGTGTGTGTGTGTGTGTGTGTGTGTGTGTGTGTGTGTGTGTGTGTGTGTGTGTGTGTGTGTGTGTGTGTGTGTGTGTGTGTGTGTGTGTGTGTGTGTGTGTGTGTGTGTGTGTGTGTGTGTGTGTGTGTGTGTGTGTGTGTGTGTGTGTGTGTGTGTGTGTGTGTGTGTGTGTGTGTGTGTGTGTGTGTGTGTGTGTGTGTGTGTGTGTGTGTGTGTGTGTGTGTGTGTGTGTGTGTGTGTGTGTGTGTGTGTGTGTGTGTGTGTGTGTGTGTGTGTGTGTGTGTGTGTGTGTGTGTGTGTGTGTGTGTGTGTGTGTGTGTGTGTGTGTGTGTATATGTATATATATATATATATGTGTATAAATGGAAAAGGAAAGTGCTAACAAAAAACTAGTCTAAAAGCGTCTAATCAGGTTGATTTGGATTCAAGTATTTTGATTCTGTTTCCACTCCTCTCTTTCTCATATTCTTTTTGCAGCGGACGTGTGCGGGTCGCAATTGAAGAACCTGTGTTTTGTGGGCACATGCATAAACGATGGCAAGGGCTCCTACACCTGCATATGCCCTCCCAACTACATCCCCAGCCGAACCGTTGATGACTTCCCCACCTGCGACCCAGGTACGGTCGACCTAGGCGTTGCCCCTTCCACACTCCCCCAGCTTGCAAAAGGGTCTCTCCTGTCTGTCACTCTCTGCTCTGCCCCATACACTCAGTCCTTTTGGCAGTAATCCCTTCCTGCCTCGTCCTTACCGCCCTCTCTCTCCTGCACACATGCATTGTGTTCTCTCTCCCTCTCCGTCACTCCCTCCCCTCTCTCCAGCCGGCAGCTTAGCCACCAGCTTGGCAGTGAGTGGCAGCAACTGGGGCTGCTCCGACGTTCACCCCCTCATGGAGCTCACTCTCGCCCAGTTCACACAGCAAAACAAGGCAAGGAGTGAATACATCCATTGGAAGTGAGGAGGATGGTTGGATAGGAAGTGGAAGCTTTTCAATGTGTTTTGTTTTCCTCTTCGAAAGCCTCAAAAAAAGGTTATGGTAACAATTTTGCACACGGGGCATTCTTTTTCCATATAAGGATAAGCTTGGGGAAAAAAGAGTAGGAAAATATGTGCGCACCAATTTGCTGGAATGCGCAGGTGTGGTTACCTTGTGTGTCATTTCATGGCTGGGGATCATGCTTGGATTCAAAGCCTCAGGCTCGTATCGTGTGTTTGCCTCTTGCAGGCTCTTGACTGCTCGAAGCCTCTGAAATTGAAAGCGGTGATCCAGCTGGCCGGCTTTCCTGCCGTCCCCTGCACTGCCTTCTTCTACACTCTCGCTGTGAGCTCTTCTCGGGTTTGCACTGAATCATCGTTTGCCATCTGGAAGAAATAGATGGTTGCTGTGTGAACACCGTTGAGGAGGCACATTGGTGTTTTGGGACCTATGTGGATCAAGTCAGGCTTTTTGTTTGCTTGCTAGGAGGAATTGGGATCACGCAGTGATCATGGGAAGGCCTGCAGGTACTGGGCGGCTGTAGGTGTACCCACTCATTGAAAAAACATGCCCTTGGGTTCAGCTAAATGACAGTCTGTTCAGGGTTGCCTCAGGCTAGATACATGCCACAGCTGGTGCTCTCACAAGATTGCCTCCTCCCCCTACTGCCTCACCGAACCAGGCAAGGCAAGGCAACCATCTGCATCACATCCTTTGCATATACACTTTGCATCTTGAATGGGCAAATGAACCATCTCCAAACTCCTCTCCCCCGTGTTCACCCCTCCAGGGCGACACGTGTGATTCCATCTCCACCTACCTGAACCGCACCCAACCCGACCTCCTCAGCCTGAACCCTGGGCTGAGCTGCGAGCAGGGCATCAAGGCGGGGCGCTCCGTGTGCGTGGAACGCAGCGCCACATTCGCCTTCACTGTCCCACAGTGCCTCAAGTTCACCACGCTCACAGCACAGGACTCGTGCGAGCTTCTGCTGCAGAGGCTAGGAGGATATGAGGAGGGGGCACTGGCGCCAGCTGCTTGGGATGAGCTTTACCGCAACAACCCCGGGCTCGTCTGCTCCAGCACTGTTCCTGCCTCTGCCTCTGCTGTTGGCAGCAAGGCCGGTGTGCAGGTGAGCGGTGGGAGAGGAGGTTAGGAGCAGGGGGAGAGGAGTCAAGGTGGGGGGGCGAGGTTGGGATGTTAAATGCAGAGTGAAGGAGAATGAGAGGCCTGGAAACAGTGAGTGGGTGGGCTGAATGGGCAAGTTTGCATGGGTCATTCTGTAATGTTGGGAGGGATAATGAAATCTTCAGACTTGTTTTTCCCAGTTGTAGTATATTTCTGTTTGAACCTCACATGCCTGACTGGTGTATGCGGTGCAATTTCTGGAATCCTGCTCACGTGAGCGTCTCGGTCTTGCATGTTCGCAAAACGTTATTTCATATGGTGATTCTCTTCAGCACCTCTTTTCCGGCTCACGTGACCATAATGACATCTTCTTTGGCAATCGGCTCCAGTTTGGTCATCATTTTTTGTCAGCAATTAACCCATGATTTTAGGGCTCTGGGTCAAGAGACACCCTATGCTTCTGCCATAGTTGCCATTCTACTGTTATTGAATTCATTTGCATGAGCTCGCATGCAATTTTTTCCATCTGATTTTTCTTGTGCGCACCTAACACTCCTTTCATTCACTCAGTTTTCAACAAAACTCTTGCTTGTGTCAAACTTCACATTGTCAGTCATCCTCTCTCCTCTCAATCTATGACTCCTTTTCCCCTTTCTCCCCATTGCGTTATACCACCCCAGGTGTGCCTCAAGGCGGAGTACTGGCCATTTACACTCGGAAGGTGCACCAAGGGCCGGGCCAAGACAGTGTCGCCATCGCTGACTTGTTCAGGCGCTTACACCTTCTATGGCGGTGCCGCAAGCACTGCAGCTGCCAAGTTTTCAGAGTACAACGGGAAAGCCTGTGCGAGCAATGTTGGATCCAAGTACATTTGTGTGCCTCGCTAGTGTCTCGGCTTGAGGAATCTGCTGAAGATATGGTACCACAAGGTTGCGATGAGTACTGGAAAGGATGAGCATTGGCATACGTACCGTATATATGCTACATGTACAATTACAACATAGAAAACAACATCCACAACACCACTGCCTTTTCCGACCGACAACATAGAAAACTCCGCCTAATGTATTAGGAACATGAAAACTACCGTACCACACATCAGAAATCCATTATGGTTTTCAATGCACCGCACCAAATTATAGGGCCACTAACTGTTTTGCGCCTAGAGCTGCCTCTTACTGCTCGAGCACATGCTTAAGCTCATGCTTATGTTTTTCCCATTAAGCCCTCTGTACAGAAATGCGTAATTACTTTAGTACCTCCGTAGGACATCCGAGCACGTCGTTTTGGGCCTCAGACTGAAACCCAATGCATGCTGCCAGGAGGACTACCGAGGAACACACACTTTTGTGTGTCTGGTCGAGCTGCCTCCCACAGTTCCAGCACATGCTTGGTTGCCGTTGTACTGTTTATACAGCAGTGCGTTATTATCGTAGTATTTTGACAGGACAGATGAGCACGTAGCTTTGGGGCTGATGGACTCCGGCTTTCCCTTCACACACGCACCCAGCTGGAAGTTCCAATACTCCGCTCGGAGACACACCTGGGTATAGTTCAGATCAGACACATAAAGAATGAAGCATTTGAGGCGCCTCAAAAGGCTTTCCCTTCACACAAGAGCCCAGCTGGAAGTTCCAATACTTACCTCGGAGACACACCTGGGTATAGCGTAGTTCAAACACATCAGTGGAAAGCATATGGAACATGATGAAGAAGGGACGGCATGATCAAGGAGCAGAACGAACATGACAAACACACTTCTCAACCGATTTTCTCCCCCCTCCCTCACCTGCACGCCAGTGTTGCTCCCGGCAGCCGAGGCAGAGCCAGGGATGGTGTTGGAGCAGATGAGGCCGGGGTTGTTGCGGTAGAGAGCAGCCCACGCAGCACTATCCACAGTGGCGACCGTCCCTTTGAGCAGCCGCTCGCACGTGTCCTGCGCTGTCAGCATCACGTATTGCAAGCACACAGGCGCCGTGCTCACGAGCTCTGGATTGCGCTCCAGGCACAGAGAGCGGCCGGGAGAGAGGCTCTTGGAGCAGTCAACGCCAGGGTTGAGGGTTGCAAAGGTGCCGTCTGTTGGCAGATAGACGCGCCCCGCTATGGAGTCGCAAGTATCTCCCTGTGGAAATGGAAACACGGAGATGTGGAAGGTTGGTCAAGATTTGCGTGCGTGCTATGGCAAAGGCAGATAGATGCATGCTGTCGGTGCGGGTAACCAGGCGCTTGTTGCTCGTCCGGGCTATGCACTCAGCTTGCTCTCTAGCGTGGAGAAAAGAGCCTTAAGAACGTCCTCAGAACCCGTCCTCTCAGCTGTCATGCATCAGCTTGGCTTGTGCAGGGAAGAGAAAACAGGGGGGGAGAAAATTTGGAAAAGAAACAGAAGAACAAATGACAGGAAGGAGGTCTCACATCGAGAGTGAAGAAGAAGGCAGTGCAGGAAACGATGGGTGAAGGGGGCTTGACATTGAGTGTCGTGCCTTTCTTCAGGACCTTGGTGCAGACAACACCCTGCCATGGTGCGAGGCATGCAACACAGCAGACACAGCAGATGGGGACACACACGGAAGGAGGATGAATGGCGCGTGCAATGGTGAGAAGGGTGGGGAAGGCTAACAGCGTTAGGGATGATTTTCTCATGGTCGAGGAAAGCTTACAGCAATAATCAACCACACGCCGTTGCCCGCCCGCGCAGCTATCTATCTCATCCAAACCTCTGGCTCACCTTGTTGAGTGCGGAGAAGTCAGCAAGGGTGAGCCCCATGACTGGATGCACATCCGCACACTGCCAGTTGTCCCCACCCACTGCCACCGTCGTTGCTGTCACGTCGGCTGCAAGGGAGAAAGAGAAGGGCAGAGAGAGAGAGAGATGGAACAAGGGAGGAGAGGGGGGAGGGGAGAGAGAGAGGAAGAAAGAGTGAAGGAGCTAGGCACTGCTGGCACTGCTGGCACTGCTGGCACTGCTAAGCCCATTATTATTTCAGCTAGCAGTCCTAAACTCATTCTGCTTTCATCTAGATGAAGAGCATTCGAAAACAAAGAAGAAACAGGTATGCTATTATTCATGTCAACCTGGGTCATGCATGTTGGGTGTAGACTACTCATCCCCAACCTATCCAGCCCCATTCATCCAAAAATCACCATGATTTGGATGGATCCTCCAAAGATTTCTTCCTCATTGCATCTTATCCACCCAACGCCTCCTAGCATGTTGTATTGAAGGCCGTGTACTCTAGTCAACCATTTTGCCCATTTCCAGCTCATGCATATGGCAGTAATGGAATGTCGGTGCAGGGGAAGAGTTTGGAAGCCTGGCCACTTCTGAGTCGACTCAAAACCTCAAGTACCTGGGCCGCAGGTGGGGAAGTTGTCAATGGTGGTGGTGGCGGCGTAGTTGGGAGGGCAGATGCAGGAGTAGGAGCCCTTGCCATCGTTGATGCATGTGCCCACGGCACAGGGGTTGCTGGTGTGGGACCCACACACGTCCACTGAGGGGATTGCATATGAGCAGGGGAGGGCGGGGGAGCAACGAAGGCATGTGGGGAGGGAAGGGCAGACACAGAGGAACGTCATGAGGAGAAGCAAAAGGAAAGACGAGAGGAGGGGCGAGAGGAAAGGGAGGCATGAGATAGACACGAGAAAGGCATGAGAAAGGCATGAGAACGGCACAGGAAAGGTGCGAGATAGGCACGAGAAGGCATGAGTGAGGCATGAAAAAGGCACAAAAAAGGCACGAGAAGGCATGAGTGAGGCATGAAAAAGGCACAAAAAAGGCACGAGAAGAAAGGCATGTGAGCAAGTGGTGGGTTGGGGAAGGAAGTTAGTGGTTTTCAGAAAAAGTGGGGGAAACGGGTGGGTCGTGTAGAGGGGTGTTGTTGGAGTGTGTTGCACACATACTCCACATAAGCTGTTACCATGCCCATGCTCATCCCCATGCCCATGCCCATGCCCATCCCACCCCACCCCACCACAGGTGCAGGTGTGCAAGCCCAACTCCCAAACCCACCACGGGACCCCACCCCACCATAGGCACAGGTGCGCGAGTCATGGGCATTGGCGAACTTCGCAAAGGGCTGTGAGCAGGGGCGGTGCAGGCAGCAACTGCATCTGCAGGTGCGCGAGCCCAGCTCCCAAGCCCAACAAGAGACCCCAACCCACCGTAGGCACAGGTTTTTGAGGCGTCAGCATTGGCGACCTCCACAAAGGGCTGGGGGCCGGGGCGGGGCAGGCTGCAGGTACACGAGTATGTGTTGGCGCGCGCGTTGGGGCGGCACGCAAAGCGCCCGCACGGGTTCATGGCCGGCCAGTCCTCCCGGTCCAATGCAAAGCCCTTGAGCACACACGGGTCGCCGGGAACTGCTCCCGTTGAGATAACGTGAGGATGGGGAAGGCGAGAGGGTGTGGGGGGAGTCGAGGTGGGAGGGGGAGACGAAAGGGGTGGGGTTGGGGGTGGGGGGCAACGAACGAGGAAAGTTAGAACGTGGAAGGTTACTGAGCTGAATCCGATTTAGATGGAGCTGAAAGGGAGAGGCGGAAGTTTGGATGAAGAGGAAGGGCTAGGGAGGAAGACACAGGGGCTCTCTTTGATATAAGGGGTGTCGATTTTTTTAGATGTAGCGGTGGGGAAGCTGTCTAGATTTGAGGCGCCTCAAAACAAGCTGTCGACAATGCTACGAGAATGTGAAACGCAAGTGTGGAAAGGCACAGAACAGCATGAATGGAAGGTCATGATAAGCAAGTGGATAGACGGAAACAAAAAACCTTCGTGCGCAAGAAAACACATGATCGTTTAAAAAAAAACTTGAAAAACCCTCTGGGATACATGTTAGAATTATGCTGTCAAAATCAGTATTTCATATCTTATATCAAGTAGGTTATAGATGGATCAGGCATAGACTTGCTATTCCATGCGAATCCATTTGGTTCGACTCAAACGAAACCCTAGTTTGGTACTATGCTCATGCCCAATCGAATGCTTTTCTCTATGGTTCTTCAGTCTCTCAACGGTTTATATGTTGGAGCCTATGAGGAGTGTAAGGTTTAGGTTGTGAACAGTTGCGGACTATGCTCTAAATCGATCGAGTCACTAGCAGGTTATGTAATGATTTGTTATCCCAACTTCAGTAACTCCCCCGTAACCCAACCGATTTGCCACCTCACCAATGGAGATCTAGCTGGAATCTCATCTCATCCTATCCTTTCTCTTTTGCCTTTTCAACCTGATCTTGTTTGATTTAAAGGCCAAGTGCCTTCTGTGTATGAATTGATCAATTTCAACCTTTTTTCAGGCATCAGATGCCTTGTTTTTGACAATGGGGTGAATGCCTCACTCTCGACAATAGGACAGGACACCTCTTCACTATGACAATAGGAAGGATGCCTCAGATTGGAAAAAAAAATATAGACGCTTCACTCGACAATATGGCAAATGCATCACTCTTAACAACGGGGTAGTTGCCTCACTCTTGATGATTGGGTAGATGCCAGGCAGCACATTGATGCCACACACGCCATCCCCTCCCTGAATGTCCATGCGCATGTGACCCCTGTCGCCCCAACCCTCGCCCCACGAGTTGCGGATGATCCAAAATGGAGGAGGAATACGCAGTTTTCCTTTTTCACCGACTGTAACAGAGTAGCCAATAACGAGGACAACGTGGTTCAGCCTGCCAGTATAGCAGCCAGGATCCTGGTACTTGATCATCTGGCATGCAGAGGGAAGACATTGGCAGAAGGGCTATAGGGTGAGACACAGAATAGCCAGGATGGACAGGGTAACCAGGATAGCGAATCTCGAAGAACTATGGACGAAACACACACTATGCATGTGTTTCAAGCACCAAGCAGTTGCCATGCAAATCAGCATGCACAGTAATTTATAGAATTGCGAAAGTGATCGTCCGCATACCCCGTCGTATGTGGCGAACGTGGGAGCAGAGGCTTCGATGTGAACCAGCACCGGCTGCCGTTCCACTGCCAGCATGAGACCCACGTACCCCTTGAACCGCGTGCGCTCAAAGCCCTGAACGGGATAGTACTTCACCTGCAAGAGTGTTTGTTTGAGGGTCATCAGAAGTGCAGGGAGTTGTGGGGCGAGAGGAGCTTTGAAGTTAAAACCAGAATGTCAGGAAGAAAGAACCGCACAAAGAAATGAATCTCCAGTGTTCTCTTGTTCAAGACATGTACTCGTGTGCCGAATTCCCGAAAGACAAGAAGACCTACAGCGAGTGCTTACTTGGTCACGCACGTAACGTTAATGGTCGTAGAAAGGAAACACACACACACACACACACACGCACGCACGCACACACACACACACACACACACACACACACACACAGACACGCACACACAGACACGCACGCACGCACACACACACACACACACGGTGACATGAACTTGCAGCACTTACAACAGCCGTTTTGCTTGTGCTTGCAGGCATTGTGGCGACTAGAGTGAGTCCCCCTTTGGGCAGAGCAAGCAGCTTCTCAAAGGCGTCTGTCGGGGAGCCTCCAGCGCTGCACTTCCCTTCTTGAGTGGTGAGCCCCATGGCTGCAAAGAGCGACTCCACTGACAGCTGCGGCGCGGGTAACTTCTGTGCGATGCCATAGGCAGCCTCTACGCTCGCCACTACTGCGAATGCCCAGCACGCATCTGAGCAGCAAATGGGACACGATTGAAGAAAGGAAAGGGAAGGATGAGATGGGAGGTAATCCAATCAGATCTTGAAGGATAGGTTAGGAATTTATTGATATTCGAGTGGAATGACAACCGGATTGCATACTTCAAACTAGTATAGAGTGCATGAATGGTGGATTGTCACCAAATTTAAGGGGTTGAACACAGGGAAGGAAGTGGGGAGAGAGGCGGGGGAAGTGGGGGATCCGGAAAGGGGAAGTGGAGATGGGGGAGGGAAAGGGAAAAAATGGAGGGATGAGCAAATGGACTGATTGGAAGGGAAGGGAAAAACAAAGGCTTCTGGTTTGACGAGAAAACGAGAACGACTTGGAGAGCAGCTCACTTTGTTTAATTCCTGCCTGCATTCTCACTTTCAAGGGAACATGAAAATCTTTTCTTAAAGGCACGAAACCATCCTCCCCTCCCCCTCCATGGCATCCCCCCCCCCCCCCCCCCCCCCCCCACAACTCTCCCACCTCCCACAGCACTCACTGCAGGCGTCCCTCCCTCCCTCCTCCCCCCAGGCCCCCACGGCACTCACTGCAGGCGTCCTGGTCCTTGACGGGCCAGGAGAGCCAGGGCACATCCCAGGAGGAGGGGTCGCGGAGGAGCCAGGCGTCCTGCTGCCCCGACTGCGTGAGCGAGTAGGATGCACTCACGTACCGCGTGAACGGACTCGCCCGCAAAGGCCGGAACGTCGTTGCAGACAGGGCTAAGCCGAAGGCTGACAAGGTGTAAGCCAGTGGAAATGAGGAGGACGCGGGAGTGGGATGGCGAGATGGTGAGACGGACAGTGGGCGATGGAACGATTAGTGAGAGGGGAGGGCGAGAGTAGGCGGCGAGTGGGGGGGTTGGGATGATAGGTGGGAGCGAGAGGGGAAACGGGTTGAGAATGAAGGGGAGAAAGAGAGCAGAAATGTCAAAAGAATTTGAAGACCACGGTAGAAGACAGTGCGACAGATTTTCTGCATAGGGGTACAGTAAAGTACAGTTCAGGTACAGTACCTGGAACGATGGATACTGCACTGGCTTTTGCGGGAATTGAAAACCCTGTGGACAGGACAGACGCCGCAGAAGACGGTAGAAGAGCAAAGACGTGGGGTGGGGATCAGTCCAAGCTACAACCCAATTGTGGAAGACAATGAGCCACAATGGAGCCAGCAGACTGGTATATCAAATTATCAATGAGCCTTAGAGCCTTAGAAGACGTCCTGATTCGGGAGCCTCGGGAACTGGAACACGGTGCTGCTGCCGTGCCTAAGCTTGAGAATACAGATCCCTTTGAGAGCCTTGGCTCACCTGTTCGGATGAGAGACACCAGGATGGCGTGCTGCTGCTGGAAGGGAGCCACAGAGGACGCCACAAACCCAAAGTAGAACGCTCTTTGAGCAGCCATTGGCTGCAGCACGTCACACAGCGACAGAGGGCTCTCCAGTAGAGGCACATCTGGCTTCACATCGTCCCCAGACAGGTACACCTTGAGGGCTCCGGGGGCTCCGGGAAAGTAATCAATCCACGCTGTATAAGCCTTTCGGTTGTTGAGACGGAAGGGCGATTGAACGGCCTTGACGGAAGTGCCGCTGCCGCCGGTGTTGAGTCCCACGTGGTGGGCGGGCATGTCCCCATGCGCTGCATCTGTGAACGTGTCAAACTCCACCGCCACGCTCCGAGCGTCCATGCCAGCGTACCCCACCCCTCCCCCCTCCCCGCCAGTCCCCGCCTCATTCGTCGCCGAAATCACAAACGCGAGCCCGTTGCCTCCCTGGCCAGCAGCAGCAGCAGCAGCGGTGGAAGGCAACATGAAGAAGGTGAAGTTGGCTTGGAACTGCAGCTGTGTGCCACAGCCCTCCTTGACAGAATCATACGAGAAGAGCACGAGCGGGTCGGCAGTGAATGCCCCTGCTGTTGCTGCTTCTGCACCCTTGGTGAGAACGGTCGGCGCCTCCACCACCTCCCCGTTCTGCAGCGAGCCTGCAGCAGCAAAGGGGGGCTCGGCAAAATAAGGAGAGGAAGAATTAACATGTTGGAAGAATTGATAAGTTTGTCACAATGTCAACCCGTCAATATGCGGACATAGAGAAGTACTGTCAGAATGAAGGCACACTGCTGCTTTCCACTGCAGGCACGTACCCTCAGCAATGCAGTAGATCCCTCCATCTTGCACAAACCCATCGTTACAGAGACACGTGGGAACAAGGTTCGGCCCCTCCGGGTAACACACCCCCAGGCCACCACAAGCAGGCGTGGTGCTGTTGACAATCCCACAGAACGCCTCACACGCAGCAGGAGGCCTCTGATCCACACCCGCACACGAGCCCTCCACCGCTGCCGCTGGAATGGAGAAGCAATTAGCGTCGAGCAGGAACTCCTGTATCACACAGTCGGACTCTTGCAGGTCCTGAGAGAAGAAGTTGCTGCTGTAGTGGTTTTTTGAGTACCCTGGCATGGCAGGATACAAAACACGCCCTGTGAGGTAGTTGCGTGATACGTCTCTGCACGGGGGGGAAGAGAGGGAGAGAGGGAGAGAGGGGAGCGAAGGAGAGAGGAGACCATTCAAGGGAGAACGAGAGAGAGCCCTTTGAGGTAGTTGCGCGAGACATTTCTGCAAGAAAAGGGAGGTTGGGGTGGGAAGGGGTGGTGGGTGGGGGAGGGAAGGGAGAGAGAGAGAGAGTGAGTGAGTGAGAGAGGGAGAGAGGGGAGGAAGACGAGGACGAGATGTACTCCCTTGGGAAGCTTCCAAGAAGAAACCAAGCAACCGCAGAAGCTCCATTGGGCAGAGATGCTTCCAAGAAATAACCGAGGAACCGCACTCCATGTCAAGGCAAGGACTGGGAGAGCCTGGGATCGACGCGACACACCATTAGGCTCCAATAATCCCTTGGCAGCTACACATCATTAGGCTTTTCTCTAGAGCTTGGAGTGGGTTTGAGTGGTTGTAGGGAGATGTTTGACGTGGATTTTTGTTTAGCGGACATCGTTTTCTTGCTGCCCGTTGCATGTGATGTAACAACCCCCGCATTGATACGAAGGACGGTTCGAGAGTGATCAGGGGAGTGGAGTGGAGGCATTGGCTCAAGGGCAAGCAGCTGCAGGCCTTCAGGAGCAGTGTCCTCTCCTCACAGAAATGAGAGCATGTGGTGTGTGCTCGTAGCCCGAACACAACTGACGCTGAACTGAACATTCTGCTGCAGTGTAGTGTAGTGTATGTGTCAGGCCTTGGAGAAGCAAAGCGATACGGTACGGCAAAGTCAACTTCTGACCACTGCTTTCAAAATGTGCTGTGAGATATTCGATCGAGACTCTCACAATGTAATATGAGATGCCCTGAAAAGGGTGCTCACTCACAGGAAAGCAAGGGAAATTGTCGAGAGAGCTTCTGGGATGGAGCCATAGAGCCGGTTCCCTGCCAGCTCCCTGAAGTGAGTGGAGCACAGGAGGGACAAGGAGATGGGGCACAGGAGCGGATAAACAGATGGGGCACAGGAGCGGATAAACAGATGGGGCACAGGAGCGGATAAATAGATGGGGCACAGGAGCGGATAAACACATGGGACACAGAACAGGAGGTACGGAACATTGGCAGAGGAGTGGCAAGATGGCGCTGATGGGGCGGAGTGCACTGAAACATGGGCAGAGTGTAAGAGAGAGCGAGAGCGAAGCTGTGTTCTCATTTGTAGAGAGATTTAGGAACCGGCTTGGTTGTTAGGAAATAAAATTTTGACAATATAGAGAATGTTGCTTTTCACTAAAGTTTTATTTCTTTCTGTGCCTTCAACAGACGGATCCTCAATCATGCCTGTTGCACCACCACACCACCTAGAGATCGCCTTAACACACACACATTGACAATACATAAACAATTCCTCACAGTACAGACAGACTGCCTGCGAAAAACTAGCACTAGCTAGCTAGCTAGTAGCTACTACTATTACTGTAAGTATGTATCCGTGTGTCTTACTCGCAAGAGATACATTTGCAAGCACGTGCTACTAGCTTACAGTGTTCCAAGAAATCCCAGCTCGCTCAGAGTGGCAGGGATGGTCCCACTTATCTTGTTGTTGGAGAGGCTTCTGAGTAATCCAAACAGGGCACATTGAGTTCAGAGGATCCTTTTGGAACATAAGACTGCTGCTATGAATAATGAAGCTAACATGCACGAGCCATCATCTTCCTACTCCGTAGTGACATCCATCCATAATAATAAGAAAACACAAATATATGCATACATGTACTTGTTTGTGCGAAACTTAAAAAACAGCGTGCGCGTGCGCACACACACACACACACACATACACACACATCACACACACACACACATACACACACACACAAATGAAACTTAAAAAAACAGCGCGCGCGCGTGCGCACACACACACACATACACACACATCACACACACACACACACGCACACATACTACACACACACACACTTAAAAAAAACAGCGCGCGCGCACACACACACACACATACACACACATCACACACACACACACTCACACACACACACACTACACACACACACAAATGAAAGGGAGATCGGCACAGCTCACATCCATCTAAGATGTGGGGCGCCTGAAAAAGAAGCAGGCATCTGGCCGGTTATTTCATTGTTCGATAGGTCCCTGTATAGCACACACCACATGCAGAGGGATTGGAGAAAATGGGCGGCATGGCATGGGATGGGCATGGGCCAGGTATGCATGTGTCATGAAAACGAGAAATTGGACAAGGTGGAATGAGGTGGTTATGTGAGGAGGAACACAACACAGCGATGGATCACACCATGCGTGTGGAGTGGATTGGAAAGGCAAGTGATGCTGCTGGCATGATGGCATGGCGGCATGCTGGCATGGTGCCATGCTAGCGTGGTGGCATGCGGACATGGTGGCATGCTGACACAATGGCAAGGCATCTAATCTCCTGACAGCCTGTCCAGCAGCAAGAAATGCAGCAGCGAGGCAGTGGAGAAAGGATGCAAGGCTGATACGGGGCGATGGGCCTGGCTGGCTGGAGCCTAGCATTGCAGCCAGCACTGTGTGAGTGTGTGTGTGTGTGTGCGTGTGCATGTGCGTGTGCGTGTGCGTAGGCGTGTGCGTGCGTGCGTGCGTGCGTGCGTGCGTGCGTGCGTGCGTGTGTGTGTGTGTGTGTGTGTGTGTGTGTGTGTGTGTGTGTGTGTGTGTGTGTGTGTGTGTGTGTGTGTGTGTGTGTGTGTGTGTGTGCTACCCACACATACAGCGCTGTAAGGTTGTTGGGAGAAACAATGAATGGAACTGTGCCAGTTAGACGATTCGATCCCAGTTGTCTGCGAGAACGGCACGAGGGAGGGAGGGAGGGAGGGAGGGAAGGAGGGAGGAAGCAACAGATTAGAAGAGAAACTGTTGAACAAGATGCACATTTACTAAGGACCCTCTTTTCTAGTGCCTATCATGTGGGTGGCCCAACTAGCAAGGCGCCCACTCCAAAAAGCACCTTGTAAGTCAAGTCTTGTTCCTACCTACCCGCACAGGAGAAGCAAGTGAAGAGAAGCAAGTGAAATTCCACGAAAGCGCAGAGCACGCACAAATACTTGAGAGCGCCCATACCAGCCGTTGATGTAGGCACGGGCCCGGTCAGATTGTTGTGAGAGACGACCCTGCACAGCCCACGCAAGGGGGATACAAAAGGGGAGGCAAGGCAAGGATTTGGGCAGAGCGTGGAGGCAGGGAGAGATAGAAGAGGGACTCCAGCAGCAGCTCCTGAATGTGTGTGCATGCGTGCATGAAGAGAAGAGAGGGCAGCCAGTGGATTATAGATCCGCTTTTCCATGGTTATAAATGAGTGCGCTTTGGGACTTTGAGGCCTGTATTTCATTACAGGGGGATAATGATTAGTTAGTCGGAGATGGGCGCGCACTTGCATCAGGGACAGAAAAGCTGAAGCGCAAGGGGGAGTGAAAGAGAGCGGGGGTAGAGTAGAGCACATGTAGTAGCACCAGCGGCGGCCGGCCAGAACACAAGCAGCACGTGGAGTTGTCATTCTCGCATTGGGTGGATGGAGAAGTCGCCAGTGGGCGTTTGAAAGGTTCTCCTTACTTATGAGAGGTTACTGCTGTTGCCTGCGATGGAGTCGCCAGTGGGAGATGCTGTGCTACTGAGGGCAGAAAGGGTTAAGGCTGGATGGGCCAGTCAGTGGCGCGCACAATGAGACGACGAAGCATGCACTAGATGTACTCACGAGATGAGAGATTTTCAGGAGACCGCATGGGTGCGCGACAAGTAGGCTTGAGCAGCAGGTCGACCCAACCCTACCCGACCTGACCCGACTTAACCTGACTCGACCCGACCCGACCCGACCCGACCCGACCCAACCCGACCCGACCCGACTTGACCCGACCCGACCCGACCCGACCCGACCCGACCCGACCCGACCCGACCCGACCCGACCCGACCCGACCCGACCCGACCCGACCCGACCCGACCCGACCCGACTTGACCCGACCCGACCCGATCCGACCCAACCCTACCCGGCCCGGCCCGACCCGACCCGACCCGATCCGACATGACCCGACCCCACCCGATTCAACCCGACCCGACACAACCCGGTTTTTCTCAGGCCAGGTCGGTTCAGGCTGACCCAGGCCGGGTTGGGTTGGGTTGGGTCGGCCTTGTCACCGAATATGTACTTCGTACATACGCGGAAACAGTTTGTGCACGGGTGTAGATGAAAGTGTAGAATCAGGTGTAGACTTTGCATGATTGCAATTCGAGGGTGAGTAGCTGGGGGAATCTGGGGGAGTTGAGGCGAAGTTGTTGGGAAAGGTTGGAGGAAACATCGAGGGGTGGGAATCCAACGAACCAATCTGAAGCAACTAGCCCTTGCTCGAGGCGCACATTGAGAAATGTGCAACTTGGGCCAGGCACAGGTACATTCAGTATCTTACACCTTCTCGTTGCTTTTCTCCTGTTATTCTCTCATATTAGTGGAAAGCTGTTACCTCAAATCTAGCATCCGGTGGCACGCCACTATGGGAGGACCTACGGGAGGGAGGAAACTCTTTCACAGTAGTTGCTGAGGCTAATCAGCAACGTAAGGAGAAGGAAGGCAAGGGAGTGACAAGAAGAAGAGCAGGTTGCAAGGATGAGGCAGTTCTCCGACAGCCTGAGAATTCGCTTCGACCCAACCCAGCACAAAAGCGGTGGGGTCGACACATGCCCGGCGTCGGGTCGGAGGGTCAACCCGCTGGCAGATTCCGACCCAAGAGTTGGGCCGGGTCGGATCTGGTCGGGTCGACCTGGCCTGGTCGAGCGCACCAGAAGCGTGGCCTGACCTGACCTCGTACCAGAAAACCAGCTTACCTTCTTGCCCATGTTTCTTCTCCCTCGCCGCCCTCCCATCCCATCCTCCTCCTCTTTTGGCCAGTGGCATGGCAAGGCCGGTAAGACGGCACAGCAGAGAAGCAACAGAGGTACTCACATTCCTTGGAGAGTGGGGAGTTTGAACATCTGTGCCACGGGGCCAGTGAGCATGTTGTAGGCTAAGTCACTGACATCGGAGGGTTGGGGGTTTGGGGTTTATGGCAGAAGGAAACGAACTGGGCAAACGTTGGAAGAGAGTATGGAAAGGAAAAAGGGTGGAACGAAGGAGTGGATTATGCAGAGGTGGGCACGTGCACAGGGAGGGAGAGAGTGAGTGGAAGTATGTTTGTGCGTGTGCCTTGCGTTCGTGCATGCATGGATTGTTTGTGGAGGCGCCTCAATAAACGTTCCATGGAATGAGAATGAGAATGGATCGTGCATCATCATGCAGTGAGATGAGAATGTACGGGTAACGGGTAGTGCATGCATGCATGCATGCATACATGTATGAATATAAATGCGTGCATGGGTGTGATTGGGACCATAAGGGTGGGTGGGTGGGTGCGTGGGTGTTGGGAGGTGTGCCGTGGAATGGAAAGGGAAGAGATGGAAGGGAGGGAGAGAAGAGGGCAACGCAACACTCGAGCTGAATGACATGAATGCTGGTGCGGTGCGTACAGATGAGTTAGCTGTCCCATGTTGCTGACCGAGTCGGGAATGCTGCCAGCTAGAAAGTTGTGATTCAGAATCCTGCCGTGCCATGCCATGCCATGGAAGGCAACAAGGAAGGATATGGAGTCTGAAAAACCAGTCGTCCCAGGGAACAGGTATATCCAGTCATGGGGTGACAAACAGCAGAGTGTGTTGCATGCGCTTACACATGAGTTGAGTTCAGTTCAGGCCAAGGGATGAGGTGAGGGGTGCCTAGTCGCGCAAGCCACGTGGTCAGACGTTACAAAAGGACGTGGATGTGTGGTGACACCAGTGCACAGTCAGCAATGTCAGTTACACATGTCTAGCAGCCAAAACTATCATCATCGGTTCGGTATGCCATGAAACAACATGAGTACAATAGGCAGACCGACACACAGACAGACAGACCCAGCAACCACCACGCCCACCAGTGCGCGTATTCGGCTTTAACGGGATAACATGCACTGCAGTACTACTACTGGACACAACAAGGTGTGTACGCTTGTGTGCGTATGTGCACTATTGGGTGAAATACTCACAGTTGGTTCAGACGAGTGAGATCGCCAAGGTTACTGGGAAGAGCAGTGAGTGCATTGTGGTCGAGTGCCCTGACGGAGTGAAACAGCAGCCGCAGAAAAAGAAGGGAGGCCTTGCTGTGACGCGTCCCAGCCCAGTCAACGGCGTGCGAGCGTAGGGAGGTGGGCTAGCATTGGTGCTATTAGCAGTACGGTATAACTACTACTGACTGACTGACTGACTGAATGACCGAGACAGCAGCAATGAGGTTGGTGGCAACGAAGAATCAGGTTGAGCATTGACACTGGTGCTAGAAAACACACACGCAATGAGCCTGGAGCCACGACAAAAGAGCAGAATTGGACCATGAAACTGCCTGTGGGCACTGCACTGACAGAGAGTAGAGATTGGTGAGCTGCCCAATGGTGTCCGGAATGGATCCTCTGAGTGAGTTGTCATTCAGTTCCCTGCGCATGCCACAGCACAGCACAGCACAGCACAGCACAGCACAGCGCGGGGTCGGTAGAGTATGGAGGGATGGATACAAGGCGGTCATGATGAATGGCACATGGTGACGTTTCCCGTGTGATGCTGCCAGCCTGCCATGCCATGGTGAACAGCGCAACTGCAATGTAACATTAACGGCTTATGATCCATCCATCTTCAGCGCAGCGAAGCTAGTAGCTCACTCAGCGTGGCAGTCTCAGGCAACAGGAGGGGAGGAGAGTATAGTGTGGGAGGGAGGCAAACCGCACAGGTAGGACAGGTGGACGAGGTTACCGATCGACGCGGGTATGGATCCCCGAAGTTTCTCTCCCCCCATGTGCCTGGCAGGGGGTAAGAAAGGATGGAACGTGGAAGAGCAGGGGAAGAGGGACAAGCACGAGGTGATGGGTTATGTGGCGTTATGATGGCTATCGCAGGCCTTCTACCGATCTACTACCTACCTATGCCATGATGCCATCATGATGCCATCATGATGCCATGAAGAAGGATCACCCATCATGCATGCATGCATGCGGCATGCATGTGGCATGCCCTTGTGCCATCACATCACATGTACGAAATCGCATGTCACGGTCACCATACCTCAGGGGGGCTCACGGTGCCCAGGGCATGCCCTTTAGTATGGTGAGTGATGACTAGCATCATCATGCGTCACTCTCACTATCGTCGCCATGCGTCACTAGTGCAACACTATCAATGTTTGATTTTAGTAATTCTCTCAAATAGCACCAAAATCCATGATACCTTGATTTTTATTGATCGGAATGCAGCTAGATATAACACCTCGGTACCCACTGGGTCAAAACGAGGGTGTTATTTAAGCACAGCGAATGCCCTTAACACTAGCCCACAGGCGTTACACTCGTCACGTCCTTGCTGGTTCAAAACTTCAGAGAGTTGGCTCCCGGGGGGACCTCAATTTTGCTGGGCTAAACAGCGATGTTGCCTGGTGGACAAGGCCAGAGACGATTTTTGAGGCGCCTCAAAAATCGTCGCAGGGAGGGACCTCAATATTGCTGGGCTAAACAGCAAGTTTGCCTGGTGGACGAGGCCAGCAGCGGATCGTTCGCTGGGTTCAAGTCTGGTAACCACATTCAAGTTCTTCTCTCTACTAGCGGAAAATGTGGACTTGAACTTTAGGGTGTGATTCCACTATAACGCCTCGCTCCCCACTGGGTCAATCGAAACACGGATGTTCTGTAGGCGCAGTGTAATTCCTATACACTAGCCCAACGGCGTTACAAGCTAGTTCATTGAAAGCAATTTCGCCTCCTTGAATAGAGACAACACTTCCATCAACTACCTGAATTGGTTTCCTGGAAGCAAAAGCACTGCGTGACTCACAGTATGGTCACCATACCGTCCACATCGCACAGAATGCCTCTGGGCTTGGGCCAGTTGGGCTCAAAAAACCCGTTCAGAGCCTGAGCTATGAACGCTTGCTCCTCCAAGCACGCGCCTCCTTCTGCCCACCCCTCCATCGTCACGCCCCACTCCTTCTGGCAGTCCAGCAGGGGTGTGACTGTAACGGGGTGCAAATTCAGCACAAAATTCAACAACGCGCAGGCAGATAGGGGCATGAGTTATGAGGTGAACTACGTGGATGATGTCAGGGGAATGGAAGAACTGGGGAAAGAGCGGAACCTGAATCGCCGATGACCAGGTTGAATGAGATGAGAAGAAGGAGGCAGCAACTCAGTGGGGGCGATGGAGCTCTGGGAGAATCAGCGCAAGACGGCCCGTCTTGTAGTGACT